AAATGAACTCCACTTCTTTTCTATAACCAAAATGAAATCAGCTTATCAACAACAATTGACAGCACAAAATCTACAACCGTAATTTCACATCTATATAATCATATAGAAGCTATCACTCACAGATGGATTCAGTTTATCAACAATCAATTCCAGCATATCACTCTCAGACAACCATTGCATCACATCCATAAAATTTGGATAGACGTGATCATCAGCACCTACAAGTCGTACCAAAACCTGCAAAGAAAACTCTATTTCTTATCAGAGTGCAAACTAGTCAGCATTTAAGATTTTATTAATGGAGAAGCCTTAACAAGCCTACACTACCTCCATAATGGATGTGATTCCAATTAAATCAACTAATTGGCGCAATACATCTCGATGAGCCTGCAAAAGGGGGAAATACATGAGATGGCAGTTCACTACACTATAGGGCAAAGAAGTAATAAAAGACAAAATAAATTAAAAATGTAGCCATATGTTGATAAGAATATAACACCCTACAACCATCAATCTCAGTAAGCAATGTCTGACCCAGAGTGTTTGGAATAAGAAAGTAACACTTTAGGAAACACATTTGATACACAGCAATAAACAAAAAAACAAAGAGATTACATGAAAAGTAAATCAGACCATGAATGAATGTCCGGGAAAATAAAGATGAAAAGCTCAATTAATACACCTTAAGAGACAAGAATGAGTCAACTTATAAGATATCCTTCAAGAAACATAATAAATGCACAAGCAAAGAAACTTTATGGAGCAAAACATTTGCAAAAAGGGTTTGACTGTGAGACCATAAATTCTTGGTCAATCATCAATCAACCAAGAGAAAACATACATATACATAAAATAAAGAACACAACTTCGGTAATTCTAATTCATGTAGTCAAACTATATAGATACATATATTGCAGCCAGACTATAGTAAAAGTAAGTCCCAAATTGAGCAAAAAGCAGAAGTTTGGATCTTGTGTACGTTGACATACCTGGACATAGTGCATAAGTGGAACTGTCTTCCGTATCATGAGGCATATGATTACCTAATTTTTTTGAAAACAAAACAACTTTTCATTAAAATAGTGAGAAGTTAGAGAAAACTCCCTTCAGGAGCATACAAAGATCCCCAACCCAACAAAAAATACCCGTATGATTCCCTAGGACTTAAAATGAAATTTAAGGAGCATGAGATGAATCCATTTCTACAATAAAATTTCAAGGTACCTTGCTGAAATAACCAGCTAACAAAGCACTATGAGGTCGGTCTGGTTCCAAGAAGGAGAAAAGCATGTTCATTAGCTGTAGTCAAAAGTAAGATGATGTTATTTTTCATGGTAACCACATCAACCAAATTATGGGGTAGATAACCAACAAAAAGAAAAGGTATGAGCCTGTACCTCTTCCTCCTCTACTAGAGTCTTCAAAATAACATCAATTTCACAAGTAAAAATCTCACAGGCAATAAACGGGAACCTAATTCACAATAAGCAATCAATAAAACAGTTTGAAAACTAGGTGTAGAAAGAAAATATCTAAAATGTGTGTGCGCACACGTAAATAATTAGAAAATACTATTACTTGAATGCCCGTTTGCTTTCAGCATCCTCTGGAGGCTCTTCAACAATGTAGCGCAATAGTTGTTCCACCTGGGCTCTGTCTCGTAGACTGAAGGCAAAAACAATTGTCCATTAAATTTTATGGGTAAATCATAAAGATCCATTCCTGCTCATATTCATCATACATTACTAACATGCGAACCCATAAGAACATTCAACCAATATTGAAATAGGCATATTATGTTAACACAAAGAATCAGATTAAAAATAAAAGAACAAGCTAATGATATAATGGAAAAAGAACCCTACAAGTTAACTAAACGACTGTTCAGGGCTTTGCATTCTTGGATTATTTCTTCTTCATCGAGAAGCTCTTCCAATGAGAAATTTTCTTTGTCTAAAATTGATTCCACCTGACAGTGAAACAAATGAAAAAACATTAGAAGATAAAATGGTGATGTAAGTATAATTAAATTTACACGCCTACTTATAAATTTATGAAAAATAATAACAGTAAAGAAAGAATTTATATGCCTCCATTGCAACACTTTTCTGAGGAACGATGGGAACCGATTCAATACCAATGTTAAAAGGCTATTGAAACTTACACCTTGAGGCTCATCTTGAGACAAGCCAACAACCTTTAGCCTCAAGATTTGCGCCTCCTTCAGCCATAAGAGACTTAAACCTTTCTTAGAAGAGGCGTGAGAAGCTTACACCTCTATCAAATGGACTAACGCTTAAAAGTCTCCACACCTCATGAAGAAATATATGGATTTGCCTCATCTTTAGAAAATATAAAAGCTTTTGTGAAACTTTGAACTATTACTACTTTTTCTATTTTCCTATTGTGACTTCACCAGTATTGAAGACAAAGTTTATAGCATAAGTCAATCTTAGAATTTTTGTTTAAATGGCAATTGACAAAGGTGGTTTTTTATACTTCATATGATTATTTTGTTTAGCAATGCTTGGTCCTACCAATTTCAGATTTGTAAAATCGCCTCACCTCTTCAAGAGTAAAAGCCTCAAGGCTAATTTTAGCCTTTTAAAAGGTTGTTCATAATGCGAAGGTACTAATGTTACATAATATGCTGAAGAATCAAGCAGTTTACATCTAACTCATTCATCCTTCCAAACCAAACTGGTTACATTTGATTGATGTTCTTGTTTCCATTTCTGAAACATTTTTAACGAAAAAATGGGGAGAGGGAGATGATAATGCTATTTTGTTTTCAATAAAAAAATATATTATGTTCCCCAAACTATGGGAAAACTTTTATCATAATTCAAAAAGTTAGCAGAAATGCTATACAATTCAAGAAACATCGTTACACTCATACAGCCTAACTTTGAAATTTCTATGGAAACAGAGTCCAGATGAACATAAACGGTCAACTCTTCATCCGTTAAGACTTGAAACAAATTCAGAAGGTTAGAGAACATGTCATTTATTCAAGAAGTAATTATACAATCACACAGCGTAACTCTGGAATTTCTTTGGAAACCGGATGCAGATGAACATAACAGGTCAACTCTTCATCAGACTTAATCGAGACAACTTCAAAGGGAAAAACACAACTGACGACAAACGCTAACGCGTTTCAATTTCAGGGACAGTTCAGAAGGACAAAATAAAAAAGGGGGAGCAGCACCGGTTTTCATTTTGCAACACATAATACGTGCATGTGACAATAATTAAAAATAACAATCATGACAAGCACTAAAACCTGCTGGAGTCCAACTCAATCAGTCCAGACAGCAAACAATTTCCTAAAAAGTACAACTAGAGTGTCAAACCCCAGATTTAATTAGGGAGCTCCATCAAAAGAAATGGCCAGCGAATCAAATTGAAAACAAAGTAATTGCCCGTGGTACAAACCAAGATACGTCAACACAAACAACAAAAATAGAAATCCATCGTCGATACTTTAAAACAACTCCGTCCCTATTCCCAGCCATTTGAAAACCCCAAAGCATGAATTGGGCAGGTGTATTCGGTGCAATTAGATGTATCAGAATCACTTACAGGAGATGAAGTAGAAAGGGAAGTTAGCCTCCAAAACATGTTGAGGAAATTGATGGAGAGGTAGATCTGCGAACCCTATTTGCAGGGAAGGGTTTAGTTGGAGAGCGGAGGATAAAAAGGAGGTGCAGATTCCAGACAGAGAAGAGCAGCAGCTTGAGAGCCTGGGGAGCTGTGAATCTGGAAACCCTAATTTTAAGGGAGATGGAGATCGGGAGGAGGCAAGTCTGTAAAGATGGGGAGGAACAGAAGACAGAGCCACGAATGAAATATTATTTTCAAAATTCTGACAAGGAAGAGGATGATAATATATATATATATATTTTTTTTTTTAATTAATTAATTAATTAAAATAAATACAAATTATGAAAAATAAAAGGAAAAATATCTCGAACCGGAGTCCAAGTTTTGGTGGCGCAAAAGGTGCGCACCATTGCATAACCTGCACCTGCTGCACCATATTTTTCCTACAAATTTCTTCTGTTTTTTTGTTCTTTTTTTAAATAAAGGTAAAAAAGTTTCATTACTACTTTTCTATAAATATGTATTGTATTATTAATATTTATAAAATAATTTTTTTCACATATTTTAAATTTTTACCTCTCGTCACGTACACGGGTTCAATTGAATTAGAAAAAATTTGTAGCCGAACTCGAAATTTTAGGTTAATTGTGTTGGTAGTAACCCAAGTCACCCAACCCGTCGAGTTGAATTGGGTTTAGTCGTCGAGTTGTTATTTTTTTTAATTATTTAAAAAAATTGTACTTATTCAAGTTGCATATTACTATTAATAACTAAAATCTAACATTCACGAGTCATAGCATTACTAACCTCCATTACAAACGTAAAATATTCTTAATTTTTATAATAATTTTTAAATTAAGATAGGTTAAATCGAAAAATAAAAATAAAATTAGGAAGAAATAGATGGAATTATTTTTATTTTTAATTTTTTAATTAAAAGAAAAGTCAAATTATAATTTAAAAATATGATACTGACCGCATTACCCAAAGAAATGAATATTTTAAATATAAATAAATATGTAATAAAATAGTGAATCTCGATGTCGTATGACGACTTCCTACTGGAATTGCCGGTTGATTTCGAAATCACGTGGTTCCATTACCGTTTGATTGAAATTTGAAAACGACACGTCGCACTGGGCTCGCTGACGTGGTAAAGGTTAAGGGTGTTTTTGGAATTTAATTTAATACTCAACGACTGCTAAATAAAATAATAATAATAACAAACTTACATAAATGTTATAATATTTTAATAATTGGATAAATTGAAGTGAGGGACCACATTTATTAAATTAATGCCACGTATGAATGAGTTCACCAAACTGGCCCCCACCAATATCCAGTGACCAATAAGAGCACAGGAGGAGTAGTAATTTTTTCGACAAGTCAAAGTTGACCGATCAACGACTATTGTTATAAACCCTTCGTCGCCGGTCTGCGCTTCGCCGTTTCGATCGAAGAACTAACGACCTATGATTCTCCGATTCGTCCCTTCCGGCTGGATAATTCTATAATCAAGTGAACCAGAAAGGATTTTGAATCTTGGATTATCGGATTCGTTCGATTGCTACTGATTTTCTCTCTAGGGCGAAAAAGGGCAGGATCAGAGGGCGATTTCGGTGGATACCTGGGATGTGATCGACGAATTGAGGAGTGTATGTTCGAAGGAGAAATGAATTGATTGCATTGTTGGGAGAGATGAGCGCGAGCTCTGCGTCAGTTCATCCTGTGGAGGAAACACCGGCGACCGATGTCGGAGACGTCGCACCGATTGTGAGTATGAAGAATATAGAGGGCATGCCCGGCACTCGCGGTGGTCTCGCTCTTCGCTGCTTCCAGTTAGGGTTCGCCGCTGCTGCTTTTGGTGTCATGGCCGCCTCCAGCGACTTCGCTTCTGTCTCTGCATTTAGGTGATTTTTCCTTGACTTGATCAATTTTTTTCTTCTTTAATTCTCTCGAATTCTTATTCAAAACGCTGATGAAGGAAGAACTATAATCGTTCTTCAAATTTGACTTTACAAGGCACTATAATCGTCCCCTGAATCTAATACGCTACTAGTTTCCAGTATTTTCATAGTTAATTTCTACGTGCGATCAGTGTTGTGAATTGATAACTATGCAGTTTTGTTTAGCCTAAATTCTTCAATTATCACGTCTGAATGGGCTTAACTGTTGAGGGATTTGCATTTTCTACTGGATAACAATGGCTGATACACTCCATGTTTTTCTTTGCTTCAGCTACCTTGTCGCAGCTGCCGGTTTGCAGGGCTTATGGAGTTTTTTCCTAGCAGTTCTTGACATTTATGCTCTTTTAGTGAAGCGGAACTTGCATAATCGTCCAATTGTTACTTTTTTTGCTGTAGGTGATGGGGTAAGTTCGTTTAACACCTAAATCCATCTGAAACCAATTGGCTCGTTGAAATGCTTTTACAATCTTCTTCTGTTTGTCCATTTAACTTCTCATATATCAAACATTTTCTGTCGTCTCTGTGAGATCCCACATCGATTGGAGAGAGGAACGAGTGTCAGCAAGGACGTTGGGTTTCGAAGGAAGTGAATTGTGAGATCCCATAGTGGTTGGAGAGAGAAGCAAAACATTCTTTTACGAGGGTGTGGAAACTTCTCTCTAGCAAATGCGTTTTAAAAACCTTGAGGGGAAGCTCGTAATGGAAAACTCAAATAGGTCAATATCTGCTAGGGGTGGGTTTGGGACGGTAGAGTCTGCAATAAACCTTGAGGGGAAGCCCAAAAGGGAAAACCTAAAGAGAACAATATCTGCTAGCGGTGGGCTTGGGCTGTTACAGTCTATGAAAGACCTTGAGGGGAAACCTGAAAGGGAAAATCTAAAGAGAACAATATCTATTAGCGGTGGGCTTAGGTTGTTACAATCTGCAAAAAACCTTAAGGGAAAGCCCGAAAGGGAAAACCTAAGGAGAACAATATCTATTAGCGGTGGGCTTAAGTTGTTACCGTCTGCAAAAAAACCTTGAGGTGAAACCCGAAAGGAAAAACTTAAAGAGAACAATATCTACTAGCGGTGAGCTTGGACTGTTACAGTCTGCGAAGAATCTTGAGGGGAAGCCCGGAAGGGAAAATTTAAAGATAATATCTGCTAGTAGTGGACTTGGACATTTACCGTTATAACGAAGCTACTGATTACCAATGTTGCAAGTATCTGAGAACTTGTGTCTTCTGACCCATGTTGATAATATTATCATCGTCATCACAACCATCAAATTTTGAGTACATGGGGCTTGCTTGCTATGTCGGTTATAAACAGTGAAATAGTTGGCTCTCTTGTCTCCTCCTACAGATCACCACCACGCTCACATTTGCAGCAGCATGTGCTTGTGCGGGCATCACAGTCCTAATAGACAACGACCTGGACCTTTGTTCGGTGAACAAGTGTGTGCAGCTTCAATCAGCAACTGCAATGGCATTCCTCTGCTGGCTCACCACATTGCCTTCATTTTTCTTCAACTTCTGGTCACTTGCATCAAGATGAAAGGTAACTCGACCAAACATCAGTAAATACCCCTTCCCCTTGCATTCATCTTTGTTTGTTCCTTCCTACCGTCAGTTTTGTTGGGATTCTACACTTCATTTATTGAAACCTTTACATTTTCAAATACTATATATGATATTAGTTTGATGTTCTTCATTGTTCATGATATTATTCTTGGAGGAATGTAGAATCCAGTGCTGCTGTCTTAAAAAAGGTGGATTTTTTTGTTTCTCTTCCTCTGGATGTCCTGTGCACTAATTGAAAATAAGAACGTTTTGTCATTATCTCTTGTGTGTATTATGGGAAAGAATCATTCCCCCGTCGTGAGTTTCATAAGCGTACATGTTTCTCAGTCTTGGATAGATCAGAACGACATTCTTCTTCTTGTGGCCTTATTAGGTGAAATATTGTGAAACTCTGTCGAGTAAAGAACTACTTGTCAACTATTGTTAAGATACGGCCATAGTCTTTCATTTTATCTTCGATTTTTCGTAAATATATATAATATATATCATACTAATTATCCAGGTTGAATGATAAAATTACATAGATTTGTGAAATTCTCCCGGTAGGTTAAACACTGTGTTCTAGAAATCCTAGATGCACAGGCTGAGAACTTGAAATATAATTCTTCTTGGGGGACTTGAGACTTAAGCTCGGCGAATTGAAGCCCTTACACGTATAATAGATGAATATAGATATCGTAAAATACATGAACTAAATTTTGATATTTATAATAAAATAAACTAAAATAGAATAAAACTTGCATTAATTTCCAAACCCTTTCTTCTTAGACTGGTCAAAAGTCACAGACAAGAAGACAAACATTTTGTTCTTAGACTAGGAAAAAGTATGATTAATTTGAACGTTTATTGCGTAATAACTAATAAATGAGCTTTTTACTTTATAATACTGTAATTAATAATTGTTCATTATTTCAGAGCATATCTTAATGAATGCTCTTCCATTTATGGTAAAAATAGAATGATGAATCCTTCTAAAACAAAAGTCAAACCAAACAAAAAGAAAAAGGCTACTCATTCCCTTCCCACCAAAGCAATGAAACGATCTACAGAGCTTTTATGCTCTCATCCATTCTTTGAGTGAGTCGGATCATCAGTTGATTTGCTTCATCGGTCTGGCTCATCGACTGATTAATGACTAAAGTGGAGTCGGAGAGGTTCGGACTCAAAAATGTGAATGAAAGATTCCACTGAATTGAATTGAGTCCATGAATCTAAGAAATAGTAAGAATTCTTGATCTCGATTCTCCACTGGGCAGGAAAGGCCCAAAGCCAATCCCAAGGAATAGTAAGTCTTTATCATTTTATTAGGTCTCAATGAGGGGAGACCAAGTCAGGCGACAAATGCAATGCAATGCACGATCTTAGTTAAGACTATCTTTTCGTGGGTCATTATTAGTTAGAAATAACAAACTTCCACAATGGTATAATATTGTCCACTTTGAGCATGAACTCTCGTGACTTTTGGTTCTCCCAAAAGTCGTCATACCTATAAACTTATGATCGACTTCTTAATTAGCCGACGTGGGACTCCTCTCCCAACAACTTTATCAAACTTTGAAACATGTTTAACAGGACAAGAGTAGTTGGTGGATGATGAGAAAAAGAACCATAGCCTGAAAAGCTTCAAAACTGTCTCCTTCATGGGTCATGTATTTGTAATCTAATGGGCTCGCCAATATTTACATGAATCAAAATGGACATTAAAAGCAGAATGAAATGGAAACCAATTAATTAACAAAATAATTAAATTACTTTGGAGGCCAGACGTTGAAACAAACATCTTCATCTTCGTTTCTCTTGTTCCAATGGATGAGGTCGAGGAGCCATTGAAGAAGGCTTGCTTCAATCAAACAAAAGACCAGTTGATGAATGAGAAGGCAAGGCAATGGACCGTCGTCTCGTCTGCCTCAAGGACTTTCCACGCAATGGCTTGTTCGTATGAAACATGTCGCCCCATGGTCGATGCACATATTCCACCAGGCAAGTATGCAAATCCCTGAACGAAAAGCCGAACACAGTTTACAAAAATACACATTACCAACAGAATCTTGATGCAAAGAGTGAAAGTTAATCTACCTGCTGCATTAACTTTGGGAAATCAGAACACAGAGCTTTGCGACCAGACTCGTCAAAGATCTTATCCAATGTGATGTCTTGTAAGGCTACTAGAGTTGTCTCCAACATGTCAAGACCAGATTGGTTTGCAAACAGGAAAACAGGCAGTGCCTGCTGCAAGTAAAACCAGACAAAATCAATCAAATTGCTGAAAAAGAAGTGTTTCTATATGCTGTTTTTTTATGTACCTTAAGCGAACAGCACAATATTGCATCCTGATGATTCCAGAGATTTTTCAACACGGATTCGTTTTCCAACGAATCCGACCTGATCAACTCTGATCCCAGTTGGAAACTGAAACAAGAAATCATTTAAAAAGATTAATAAACTACAGTATCGTCGAGCTACATAGCCTAGTTAGATCCTCCAATGTTGTATCCTTTATATTTCCGTTTTCTGCTCGTACACAACTAACTAACACGTGCAGTGTATGAAAGAAAAGTTGTGATCAGAAGATACCTATAGCTCTTGCATATCCAGTGTGCTAGAGTAAGAGCTTCTGGGGAACCAGGAGACAGCTTTGGACCCAGTGCTGGACTGCCCCCAGAAGGAGATATGGCCATTGCAACTCGTTGCACTGAGGAAATGACGCTTCGTACGTACTGGTGTGCCATGTTTGTAACATTGTCCTGCATGCTGCTTTCGAATGGAAACTGGAATGCAATAGTTAACACTGATCTAGAGCTCTGACTTGATGATGCATCTCCAGCAGCATTGCTAGTTCCACAGCCCACCTCAAGACTTGATGTTAGGTCCAGAGTACGTTGACTACCTTTCGCGTCACTCTGCATTAAGAATTTTTCGGGTTATAGGGTATCATTCATCGAGCAAATGAACACATTCGGCACAAGACGAGTTTAAAACACGGCACATATTCTAAAATATAAATTCCATATGCCACACAAATAAAAATTCTAGGATGGGAACAACATTGTCCACTAGAATTCAATCCTCAGAGCGAAACTTATGCTTACAGCCAAAATTAAAAATTCACATCAAGAATAAGTATGGAGGATCACTACAAATTCATATGAAACAATCATACTCAACTGATCTGGAATCCAATGGGATGATTCGAAAGCCAGAAGGCAGCAACGGGGCGTCGTCTGGAAACATCTCATCAATAGGTGCAAAAATGAGTTCTGAACAGGCTCCTACAGCATTCTCGTCAATTCCACTACATATCTGCAACATGAGCAACTTATTGTTAAACCAGACAAGATCATTGAGCATTCAAAGGAACTTCATAAATAATCAAATACCAACCTGAAGAAGATGAATGTCCCTCGAAACAAAAGCATCTTCTTGTACCATAGGATGTCCCTCAAGTCGAATTACTTCAAGCAACTGGAATTCACCATAATCAGATATTATATAGCTCTAAGCACTAGATGACAAGAAACAGAGACCATTTAAAACAAACCTCTTCATTCTCGATTGTGTGACCAAGTGGCATGATGATTTGGCTACCAGTAAACCTCGTGGGTCTCATCCCAGGATATGCGTATGAATTGGCTTTAAGGGTTGCCGCAGAGTACGCATCAATGTTGAAATCAGCCCATTCTGAGCGATGTTCTCTCAAGAAACGAACTAACACAGCAGGAGAAACATTCTAGCATGGAAAAAAAAAAAAAAAAAAAAAAAAAAAAAAAACAAAA